CACCGGTGAAGACGCAGACAGAATAAAATGGCGGAGTTCCGGTTCGCCATTGGACAGATGGGCCTCATTTGTTTTTATGTTAATAAAGGCGGGATATTCCGATGCTCCAACTACGAGTTTCGTGATAGGACCAGGTGGTATGAAATAAGTAGCCGTTTTGGGTTGCACAAAATATACAGAGGGGGAGAAGACGCTAAATTCTATTATCGCCGTAGGGAGACTCATCCATATTCTATTCTTTTGTCAAGTGGTGTTTACTCTTTGGGTTTCTGATTGTGGGTTATGAATGTTTTTAATATTTTTAAGCGACAATGGTAAAAGGGGGTAAATAACAATTCGGTTTGATGGGAGATTAAAATAAACAGTATAGATGGATGTGATGCGGTTGCAATATGGTGGCATCTTGTTTGTGTTTGGATGGGTTACAATGTCATCAGTTAATAGTTGATGTCGGTTTTAATGAATGTTGAAATGCATTATTTTAATAAAACTATATTATAACAATATTGAATTTGTGAATTAAAATATTTATATAAAAAATATAGTATAAGTAGATACCTAAACTAAATAACATATAGTACCCACAATATTGTTAAGTAGTGTAACTGGGTAATTTTTTTAAGGTGTAAAAATGGGTATAGGTGAATTACAATTTTAATGTTCTTTATTGTGCCTTCATAAGTTATTTATCAAGTCTGATTAGACATATTTGAATTAAACATTATTATGACTTGATTTATTGTCAATTTTAGCATGATTATTATATTTAATTATAATTAAGTATGCAATTGATTTTAATTTATCTCAGGAAATATTTTATTTTTGAATTAAAACTATTTTATGTTCTTCGTAATCAGGGTCGACTAGAGGGGGGGGGGCAGCCGGGACCAATTCCCGGGGCCCGGGCTCAAATGGGGGCCTAGCAGTGGTATAAGGGGGGCCTGGCAGCGGTGGTGTTTGTTACTTTCAGAAGTTCGACACAAGAGGGGGAAAGTTCTTACTTGAAGACTTTTTTTAGGGAGGAAGTAGGAAATAGAAGTAGGAAGTAGAGGAGGAGAAATTTGTACTTGAGGATTTTTTTTTAGAGAAATTCAAGTAGAGGAGGAGAAATTTTTGCTTGAAGACCTTTGGTTATCTAATTTTTATAAAATTGTCGCGGAGACCGATCTGGAGAATTGTCCTGTGCCCGATCTGGAGTGTGTCACTTTTATATACTCCATAAGAACACCTTTTCATTATCCCTTTCCGTACAGATAAGATAATTGTAATTGATTGCAAAAATTTATTTTTCAATCAAGACACGTAGTATATTGCTTTATTTATTTTTTTCTTTTTTTAAATGAATATACTTTAATTAATATTTATCGATTAAGTATAATTTTTTTCACGTGGGCATTGTTTACAAAAAACAGTACGAAAAAATGGCAGAAATTGACGCATGCACACAAAAAATATGATGAAAAGGCCTATTGTGATGTATCTTTAATAAACTCTAATTTTGTTTGTCAAATTAAAATGCCCCGGAAATCACACAACTGTTTATACAAAAGATTTATAATTCAAAGTTTCCGTTAACAAAATACAAATTTGAATAAACTAGGTGCATTATTATTATTTATTACTTTTCTTATACCGTAATTCTAATAAATAAAATTTAAAATTTGATTATATCCAGCCATAAAATTTAATTATTTACCATTGGTAGAGTGATTTTATTTCTGTCAATTATCATAATATTTCACTTATGTTTTATTCTGCTCAAATGAATATGCTAGAATATTATGGAATTTTAATAATAGTAGAATTTAAAAAGACATGGTAAATGGTAAGTTACTGTCACTTGTACAATTACCTTATTATCTTAATTATTTCATGTTCTTAACTTCCAAACTTTAAGAATGGTTGTATGTTAGACAATTTATATATCACTGCATCACTTAAGAGTGTTTCACTAGAAGCGCACAAATATTGTGCAAAGATAGAATAATTTACGAAAACAATAGACTATTGAAGTTGAGAACATAAACTAATCAAGATAACAAGGTATTTTTAAAGTGAAAAGAAGTCAGTTATCTAGAATGTTCCATAGTAATGCGTACAACTAAAAGAGCACCAATTAATTCCTTTATTTAATAATAATAATAATAATAATAATAATAATTTATTCATTAAAATAGTACATATAAACACATTTGATACAGAAAAAAAGAGAAATGAATAAATTGGCTCACGTTAAGTGACTTAACACTTGTTACGAAATTTTGAGTAGATATACTGTAATACATGCCATACATAATATACATATAAAAATACTAATACTAATAATACTAATACTAATAATACTAATAATAATAATAAATACTAAAAAAATAATAATAAGGAAAGAGAAATGAATCATACCATCGAATTGTCTGATATAAATATTACTTGATACATTATAATACGAAAACATACATAAATAGTGAGTACTTTTTAGGTTTTATTTTCTATTAGATCTGAAATATATTTCCTTGGGGTATTGAAAGTAAATATTTTTAAATATTTCTTGAACAAATGGAAAGTAACCTTGGATTGCACTTCCTCTGGTAAGTGATTATACATCTTAGGCCCTAGATATGAAAAAGACCTTTGAGTTAAAGATCTTTCCACCAAGGGTACAACATGGTTTGATCTATTCCGGGTTAGGTAAGTATGAGATGGTATTGTAGCTGTGAGTCTAGTTGGGTAATATTTTAGATTGGTGGAAACAAAGTACATTTGTCTTATATCTAATATTTTGCTTTCTTCGTAAAGTATATCGGATGAGTATCTAAAATTTTTGTTCATTATTAATTTCAAAAATCTGCGTTGTATTATTTCTATGTTATTAATGTGACTATGCAGAGCACTACCCCATGCTACAATACCATAACGTATATGACTTTCTACAAGAGAATAGTATAAAGTTCGAAGTTGTTCTAGGGGTAAATGTTTTTTTAAAAATTTAAATTTATAGAGAATAATTTGTAGCTTTTTAACTGTATAATTTATGTGACAATCCCATTTTAAATGTCTATCAATATACAATCAATCAATTTACATTTAACTGATGTTTTAACATACGATTATGATATATCTAAATACTATTGTATGGTCCGATTAAAATTAGAAAAACACAGCTACGTCATAACCATTACTTCGAATTTCGAATACATATTATCTATAACTATCAATAAATAAAAAATAAGTAAGGTGTTAGAAATAAAACAATATTTCCTACATTCCTATAATATTAACCTAATCCCCCTGTAAGCGGCGATAACCAATTAATTACTTTACCAAATGAGGACGTAGCTGTGTTCTTTTAATTGTAATCGGACCCTACTTTTAACATATTTAGGGTGAGATTACAGAACGTCTGCAACTTTGCAGATCTGCAAATATGGCGGCAATTTTGCAGATTATCAGAGTTTTTAAACATAGTAATGGATTTGGGTATAGTGTTGTTTGGGGTAGATACTTTCTGGAACACGAAAACTTGACACTTGCATCTGTAAGTCCACCATATTTGCAGATCTGCAAAGTTGCAGAAGTTCTGTTATCTCACCCTTAGTTATTTTTAACCGACTTCAAAAAGAAGGAAGTTCTTAATTCGTCGGAATATTTGTTTTTTATGTATGTTCAGCGATAATTCTTTACCACGTTGTCCAATTTCTATTATTCTTTTTTTGTTAAAAAGGGGGGTACCTCAGAGGTGGTCACATATCTCGATTTTAGAGTGGGTTTTTTAGGATTACTTTTATAACTTGTCTTTCTATTTAGGATTACTTTTATAACTTGTCTTTCTTTTTCAGAAAGAAAATCTATAGTAAAATTTATCTGGCTTTTTGCACAAATTTTTTATCGCAAATATCTTGTATTTGAATTTTTCAAACAAGTGAGCTTAAATTTTTTATGCCCAATAGGAATAAATAATTTTTAGCTGTATTTTAAACACTCTTTCTAATATTAAATGACAGATGAGTTTATTTTAAATTGTTATTCAAACTTATTACTCTTATGTTGAGACTATTTATAATCAAACAGCTGTTGCAATTTTTTTTATATTTAATTTTTTCTCTTGAAATTAACTTAAGTTGGCACCCGCCTTTTTCCTATAAATTTTGATAACTGTTTTGCTGATTTTTATGTACTTGGTGTAATTTTAGTATGAAATCATGCACTTATTTCATATTCCATATGCTCACTTTTTTGTCTGCTTATAAATTTGTTTACATACAGTATAATAATGTTCAGTTTTAAAAAACTTTTTGTTAACTCAACTCTGTATCGCTGTACCAAAAATGATTTTCTACTATTTATTTTTAATGTTACAATTTTAAAATGAACAATTTTCTTTGAAAATATACAAAATTTCAAAAACAAACATTTTGACAAAAATGACAAAGTCATACGAGAAAATTTTTTAAAATTTTTGCTGTATATCTGGTGAAATGTTAAGGATATCAGCACTAATAGGTATATAACATTTACATAAAATACTAATTTGAATAATACTGTATTATTTGTTTTAAAATTAAACATATACTATTTTTATATTCTATTTTGTAACTAATGATTTGTTTGTCATTAGCTAGAAAAGTATTTCTTGTCTTCCCAAGGGCCCCAAGTAAAATTTTCTTAACATTGCTTGCCCCCAAAAAAAGGAAGTTACAAAGCTAGTTTAGTTTCAGACACTGCTAACCAGTTTATAAAAGTATAACAAAAAATGTCACTAATAAATGAAATTTACCTTCTAAATTTGATAAAATTATATATTAAGAAAATGGGAAAAAAAAGTGCAAATATCATCTAGGTATATATAAAAGATAAATACCGAGCCTTTAATAAACAAAACTGATTAAAACCATGTATAACATTTTATAATAAATTTGGAAAACCAACCCATTAGGGACGAACCATCTAAACTCTTCCTTTTTACACGCTTAAGCACTAAAATTAATAACATAAATTATACTCACGCTAGGAATGTTGTCGTTATTGCACACGCCCTCCGACAGTAACCTATCCCTGATCTCCCAGGCGAATATCGAAGGACATTCCCTCTTGAACTCGGCTATTTTGTTGACCACAGGCGTTGTAGCGACTCGAGGCTTCGATCCACCTATGGCCCTAGGTTTGATTGAACCCGTCTCGTAATACCTACCAACAAAACTAACATCAGCCAAAAATACAGCCAAATCCTTACCAGAATATTACCTGCAACAAATAACAATATTACAGAATAATACTCAAAGACAGAACATGGAAAAATAATGGAATTAATTTATCTTGCAAAAGTAAAAGTGAGTTTTTTTTCTATTTGGCATTTATTAGAATTCGATTACAATAAGAAAAACACAGCTAAGTCATAACTATTATTTCGAATTTAAAATATTATTACATCTTCTATAACTAACAATAAATGAAGAATATGTGAGTTGTTTGGTTTAAAAATAATATTAACACGCTACTAACACCCTATTAGGCGGCGATAGCCAACGAATTACTCCGCCAATTGATGACGTAACTGTGTTCTTTTTATTGTAATCGAACACTACAATAACTAATAATGTCAATTTGTAGTACAAAAAAATAGGTTATATGACCATAAAAGAAGCAATAGAACCAAAATTTCGAAAACCCAACCTTGGCCTATTGTTATAATTGTTTTTTGAATTTTCCACGAAAATGGTGAGTTAATAGAAAATATATACAAATATTTGAGTTTAGTTTAAATTGTAAATATATAGGGTAGTCTAATGAAAACCTTACACCAATCTGGTGAGGAATAAACTTCAGAGATTTGGCTGTGAAACGCTTAAACATCATCCGTACAGCCCAGATCTTTCCCCGTGTGTCTTTCACATTTTTGGTGACCTGTGACCTGTGACATTCGTGGACGTTGGTTTCATTCAAACGATAAAGTGCAAGAGTGGATGAGGTTGTGAATCCTTCACCGATCGTCTCCCGGTGGGATAAATGTAAATTACCCCTTTTGCAAATAAAACAAATCTCATTGTTATATTATATCGGGTATTCGGTTTTCATTTGACTGTTGCTCATATAAAAGTTGTTCAGCTCTGATGTACCTACAACATTGTTATAACGGGTGGGCCATGAATATGTTGAATTTTAAACTGGGTGTTATTAGTGAATTTGAAATTTGACTGTCATTAATTGTTGACAGTGATTTAGTTTTATCCTTCCGCTAACTGAATATGCATCGCTTTAGTCTAGATCAACGTTTTGAAATACTCTAAACTTATTTTGAGTGTGACTCTGTGATTGCCGAGACGGCGTGAAAATTGCGTACAAAATTTGGAAGAAATGAGGCGCCTTCAGACCAAGGAATTTAGAATTTTATTGATAAAGTGCCAAAAACTGGAATGCTGGTGGACGTAAAACATGTTCCGCATGCTCATCCTAGGCGTACACCTGAAGTAATCGCTGCTGTAGCCGAAAGTGTGCGCCTTAACGCGTCAACATCAACTCGGCGCAGAAGTCAATATTTTGGCCTTTCCCGTACTACTCTGAGGAAGATTCTGCACAAAGACCTCGGTATGTTTGCGTACAAAGTCCAGCTCGTTCAGGAGTCGAAGCAAGTTGGCTATTCACACCGTTTTCGCTTTGCTTCGCTGCAAGAAAAATCATCTTTTCGGATAAAGCGCAAGGATTTGGGGCATGGAAAATTAACACGTCGTCGTAACAAAGCCTATGCATCCAGATTGAGTCACTGTGTGGTGTGGATTTTGGAGTGGCGGCGTGATTGGACCCTTTTTCTTTGAATATGAGGCTGGCCGCACCATTACGATCAATGGCGACTTCTATCGAGTTAGGATAACGAAATTTTTGTGGCAGGAATTGGATGATATCAATTTCGATCAGGTCTGGTTTCAACAAGGTGGCGCAACCTGCCATACCGCCGAGGCCACTATCAATCTTTTGCGCACAAAATTCAATAATCGTGTAATTAGCCGTTTCGGAGATGTTAATTGGCCACCTCGGAGCTGCGATTTAACACCACTCGACTTCTTTCTATGGGGCGCATTGAAGGATAAAGTTTACGCAGATAATCCTCACTAATTGAGCACTTAAAACAGAACATTCAAGCTCAAATTGCTCAAATAGAGCAGCAAACTGTTGAAAAAGTGCTTGTAAATTGTTTTTCCAGGATGGGCTACTGCCAAGCCAGTCGAGGTGACTACTTAAAAGAAATAATTTTCCATACTTAATCGGAAGAAATATTCTATTAAATAAAGTTAATTTTTCTTGTCCTCATTGCTAATTTATAATTCAACACATAAATGGCACACCCTTTACCTTTTTTTAAGAACATCCAGAACAGGCACTGACCCAAACTTTTATTTTGTAAATGATTTAATATTCATATATTATTATTGTGAAACAGTAAATTATTGAAAAGTGTACAATATAAGTTATATATCCAGAACATACGAGAGAGACAAGTAAAACGAAAATTTTACGATATTTTAATCGCAAGAGTACTAGCACTCCTGCACTATGGAGTATTAGACTACTAATACAATCAATAACCTACATAGAAGACGATGCTAATGACCCAAGTTTCTGAAGCTAAAGACACCAATAAAAAAAAATTGCAATTTCAGGTTAAATCTTAGGAAAGTTTTCACTGGTTCTAGTCCCCGTATAGTTCTTCTCCAACCTATGCCCAAAGGTTCTGTTTATTTCATAACATAATCTTAAATTTAAACATAACATTTTACAAATCGCCCCTGTCCAACCCATTTGTGTTAAACCCACCCATTCAAGAAACTCACATTATCCATTCTACAAATAACAATATCATCTCTACCTACGCATTTAAGAGATGCATATTATCTATCATGCAAATAGCAATCTTATCTCGCCCCAGATATAGTGCAAGCTAAATATATTGCTTTCAAAACCTGAGAAACATCACGTAGATCCCAGTACGATTCAAAACCATGCCACATTCTAAAATATACTTTATCTCTTACAGCACAGCATTTCTCTTTTTCCCATTCATGAAAATTAAAAAATATTTCTGATGAATTTTCACGCGTCCCTCACTCCGCTTTCAAACTTTCAATAGCCAAAATGTATCGCTAAACACTTCAATTTTTTAACGTTTAAGCATAAGGATGCTTCAGAGTCATCCATCTATCGCTTCACAACCACTCCGTTTTCATACATCGAACAGAAAACACATCGTTTTATTTCTCGCTTATCGTCACTCCAGTGAAGATGTCTCAGCAAACATCTCGTTACACAGATTTTATCGTCAAACAGGTGACTTGTTTCGGGGTCGATCTTTTCAGAATCACACAATTTTTGTTATCGTCCATGCAGCGTGAGATAGTATTTTCTACAATTACAAATACGTTATCGTGTAAATATGTAAATAATTTGTGTTTTGTTTTCGAATAATTGAATAAACATTGTGCCATTGTCAGTGTTTTGATATATAGACAAGTTTCCCTCTCAAGGTTAAATAAAGATCCACCAGTACCAGGTTCACCAAATTATATTTTAATTGCAGAATCATTCTGCCAAGTAAAGAGGTTCCAAAGTCATTCCCTAACTAGGCTTGACCTTGGAAATAAACTCCTCGGCTCTGCTGAGTACCTGCATCCGGCGAAGGTGGTAGGGATAATAGATTAGCTTTTGTTTTTGTCGTAGATTAAGAGAATTTTTCCTACGTCTTCGATAGTTTGACAATGGTTTTTTAAAAATTTCTGCCGTGACTCGCAATGACCTTTTTTAACAGTGTAACTAGTTTTGACATGTACATGTCCCGTACTTATGTCTTTTTTATCGGTCATGGCATACTTTATAAAAAAAATTATGAAACTATATATTATTTAATATTTTTTATATTTATTTATAGGAGATTTGAAGATCCGTCGGAACATTAAAGCAAAGAAATGAGTAGAACATTGCCAATTTAGCGCAGGATACTAATGCTATTAAAGCTTGTGACCAACACTTTTTTATAAATAGCAATCTATGTTCTTTAAATAAAAACAAATTTAGCAACGAGATATTAAATTGTCTAATTAGTTTTAAATAGAATGCCGATCAAATTATTTGAATAAATACCAGGGCAAAGGCTCTATTCCAAGAACTAAAGAAACTAATCACACTAGAACTAAAAATGAACTGCCTAGACACATACAAAAAATTAAATATTAGGAATTAGTACCTAATAAAAATCTCGAAAAAGCGAAAACGTTAACAAAAAATACGTCAAATAAAAACTAATTTCAACAGACAGAATAGCTTTCAACTCAAAGTGTATGATACAAAATCTGCCTTTTCGTAATTTAATTTTGGTAGCAATTTATATATCATATTTCCATTATCAATATTAATATTATTTTTGACTACTAAATACTAACCTGCCGAGAATCTTTGACACGCATCCGTTAGACACCTGGAGAATCCTTGAGATATCACATGGTCGAGCACCGGAGTGTGCCAACTCCACGATCTTCTGCCTGGTGGAATCCGGAAGAGGCCTTCCGTTGACATAAACACCTCCTAGTTGATTAATTCCGCTGTGACCAGCCGTAGAACATCCAAACAATGAATTCTGGCCCATTGCATGGTGCATGAGGTCCTCTTCTGAAAAGAGGTAGGTGTAAGAAGCGGTTTGCGGTTGATCGATTCTACAGATTGGTGCTAGAATAGATCAAGCCTTCTTTATGTACATATGTTATAAAGAGCTAACAAATAATTTTATTAGATCTTTATATTAGTTATAAACTAAAAACTATCAAACCCATCCAACATATTGTATTTATGGTATCAAAGTAACAATTTTCTCAGCTGGTGCACTAAAAATACCCAGCCTACCAACTACAAGGCAACAACCTGGTTAGAAGGTGAGGTGAGGTCACCACGCCACATTACATTCAATAGCAAATTCAAGCGTTGCTTAACTTTTAATGCTTTGCATTAGAAAACATCTACTTCTTTTCTTGTGTGCCACGTTGGACACTGATGACATTTGAACGTAGATATGTTGGAATGCAAATATCAAATACAAGCAAAATAATTTTGCTGTTGACGGTAATAAGACCGAACGAACTCACTTCACTGGTATTATTTCAGTACACCATGAGATCAACAATCTAGATAATGCAAATGCCTGAAATAATTCTGAGAATTGTAAGCTCTCTGAGTTCCTCTTAAGTTTTTGAGATAAATATACAGTGCTGCTACGGCTATAGAGAATATAGATAAATCACCAGCACCACTACAACTTCGCTTTATTTGGGTAAATCATCGGTAGTATGTCGTTTTGATTCTGTAGTTTTACAGAAAACGCTTTATAATCAATTAGACTTAGTTTTTACTATGTTTGCAAGATGGTAGCAGCTCTGTATATAAAATGTTAGTAAGTGAGTTTACATTATTTAAATGAATATTTAATAACTTAGTTGAATTTAACAAATTGAATTCAATTATTATTTTACTTAATTAATAAAGTGTTTCAAGTCAAACAGATACAAAATAGCAACAGCAACAATATGTAGTGATAAACTAAATAAAAAATATAGGTATTTATATTTAGTAATCTAATTTTATTAAAAATGTTTAAAAAAATACCATGAAATAAGAAAATATTTTTTCCATACAATTATAGTATGTACACCAATATTGAAAAATCTAGACAAATTTAAAAGAAAAAATATAAACTTATAGCTCAATCAAATTAGTTATTCCCCTAATTTAATTGAGTTTCGCTTTAAAAAAATTACATAATATTATACGTTTATATGTAAAAATCGCTTGTTTCTCTAGTAACAGAATACACGTAGTTAGTAACTACGTAACTACTAGTTACGATTCATGTGAATCATAGACAATAATATTATACATATTGATATATAAAATTATTGCAGAAAAAATATAATCACGTCATTTTTATTTTTGTTTGTCAAAATTTATTGAGCAATCATTTTATGATAAGGTTCCTTGGAAAAAAAAATTATCATAGGGGATACGAATTTTTGGAAATATATTCATTTATATAAATAATGTACAGTTTAGATAAATAAAGAAATTAAAATTATAGACGGTACGAATTTCTAAAACAAATCTACCAGACGGTGGTATAGAATACAAAAGAGAAGTACATACAGTTTTTGTGAAGTTAACGAGTACATTTGACTCACTCAACAGGGGAAAATGGGATAAGGACTAAAAAAATTGCGAAAGCCATTGAAAACGACAATAAACAAATTCAAAAGTGCGATTTCAAAGTATGTTATGTTATCTTGTAAGTGTTATTAAACTGCGATCTAAAAGATCTGTTGTACTCTCTATCGCTAATGCAGCAAGGAAATGTATGGATGCCTACAACGACCGTTCTTCTGAAGGAAGTGTTTGAAGTAGTTTTAAGCTAGGTAAATCGCCCTTTTCTATTTGATATGCTGGATTAGTGTACATTCACTTAGAATGAGAATTGAAGTTTCGTCGTCCTCCTCCTCACAGGATTTGCATTCACTATATTCTATTACTCTCAGTTTATTATGTCCTGCAATACCCAGTAAGGATCCCTGTTCTTGCTCAGGCAGATACAGGCTTTCTATCTGTACTGGTTATATTCACCTAGAAGTATTTTAGCCCAAGAGATCGTTCCAATTATCGGTTCTTCTACTACCCAATTCTTTTTTAATCCCATTTAATATTGTATTACGAGAACGGTTCGGGTCCCACAAAAGATGTTTAAGTCCCTTTCCTTGCGATACTATCTACAATCTCGTTACATTTTACCCCGTTATGTCCCGAGCTGATTACGTAAGATCTCAGCACTTTCATGGCTGCTTGGCTATTAAACATAATAATATCTCTATCTTAAACTGGATACACTTTTAAATGCAGTGAATTTTTGCCTGGATGATGCTTGACTATTTCCCCAAACTTTCAGAGTGCCTGGTTCTAGGCCCATACACTCCTATTCCAGTTTCTTCTATGGTTTTGGAACCATCCATATACCACTAAATAGCATGTCTTTCGGTTGCATGCACGATGAAATTTTCTATTCTATTCTTTCTTGCAGCCCAGTTCTGTAGTTTTGAAGAACACAAAACTGTACTTCATTCTCATTTCATCCTGAGGCATATCCCAAGTTATTTTCGGTCGAGAAGCTATTAGACTTTCGTCTGATTATTCCGTTCCTGATCATTCTACATCTTGTCCTTTTTGCTTCATTAACTGTAAGGGATCATCTATATTGCGGCCGTCGGACAGGTTCTCTCTGCAGCGGTGATGCAAACACAGGCTAGACTTTATACTTTTGAGATATTGGCTCTCGTAGTAGCTAAACTAGTTCTCTTACTACAGGCTACAGCCCCGTAAGTAAGACCTTTTGCTGCATACATCCATCGTAGTGTGTTCGGGTTACATCTTCATCTTTTACCTGTCATTAGGGCTTTTGTGGCCTTATTTACGACTTTCTTCTCATGTATGTTTCAAAGAAGTATGTTAGGGTTTGGCCTAGATATTTGACTTCTTTTTTCCATTCTATATCTAATTTGACGGTTTTGAGATAAAGTTTTCTTTTTTATGAAAATATTTTCGTGGGATTTACTCTAAATCCAACCGCAGCACCATCTTTTGATGTATTCTCGACCTCTTTGGACTATATCGCACAGAACAGTTTCAAACTTGCCTTTAGCAAATATGACTATGTCGTCGACATAACATTGACAATGTATGCCGAGGAGAGTCAACCTGCATTGAAGTTCGCCTACGGTTAGGGTCCACATTATTTGGGGACATCCTTTGGTTGTGCAGATGCAAATGGTGTCCTGTCCTCTATGTGTCTCTGCAGTTCTCGTAGATAGCAGCTGAGTCATCCTTCTGCATCTGGTGCTATCTATTCCTCTGTATGCGAGTGCTCTTTTGACAGATTTGTTTGACGTGTTGTCAAATGCTCCTTCAATGTCTAAAAAGGTACACACGACCGTTTCTTTGTTTGTCAGTGCCTTAATAGATAAATTTTATATAAAAAAGGAGGTGACTCAATCTTCCAAATCCTGTTTAATCTAGTATTAGTCAGCATCGTAAGGAAAATAGAATTGGGCATAATTATAGATGCCATTCAAGTAATCGCGTACTGATGATAGCGATAGAAAGAATAGATGAAGAAGCTAGATAACTTACAGCGAAAATAAAACAGAACAAAAGAATATATATGAAATCAGGAAGAGAACAAATTATTACGAAGAAATACCTAAAAACATAGAGACATAGAGACCTCCTTCAATTATCTCGGAACAACAATGGTACAACCAGGAATCAGGAACGAGTAAAAGAAAGTTTATGACAAATACAGAAAAATTCTGAAAAGTGAATTCATTACCAAAAAAACTAAGACAACTATATACAAACGAGAAATAAGACCAACAATTACGTACATCCTTGAAACAAAACAACAACAAATTTGAAAAGAGAAGACCTAAAATGGCAAATAGTAAAATAACAAAAGTCGTACTAGGTCTAAATTTAACAAAAAATGGAGAAAAGGGACTAAAAACTTATAAAGAAATTGAAGACCAAGTCGGAAATAAAACTCTCATGATATATAAAATTACAGAGTCTAAAGTGGGAAAGACATGTCATGAGGAAAACCAACAAAATTGTTAAAAAAGTTGGATGCCACTGTTGCCAACGGGAAGTGGAAGACCAAAAATATGGGGAGATGTTATAAAAGATAGAGAGTTGAGAAAATATCATATAAACAAAGTACCAACCAATATTTCTAACTCGCTCAAGATAAAGAGGCGTAAATCACTTCAAAAAATAGATTTGAAACGCACTATGCTTTAGCTATAATCTTCTAATAATTAATTGAACGGCAGAATGGTGATGAAAGGTGTCAAGTATAACTTAACAGAAGCATAAGTGAGGAGTAGAAGTAGAGTAGGATGAAAGTAGGTAGAAGTAATAGAAACTGAAGACAAATAAGTACGATAAGATCAGAAAAGAAGAAATTTGAATTTAAAGAGAATATATTTTTTTAAATAAATTAATTAATTAATTTTTCTGTAAATGTTTACTTGATAGCTTTACGTCCCTATTATACCCATTTTTATTAAACCTGTTACTCTTATGGAACGCCAGTTATGAAAGATCTCGCCTCTGTTTTAGGCCAAGAGCAACTGGTATAGAGTCTACTTCAAGAAACCAAGATACTCTAACCAGTTGTTAAAGAATATTAATATATTAAAGAATACCCACAGTCCAAACAAATCTAATCTAAATCTCTGTTGTATGACCCTGTATGGGTTTATCTATTTTATATAAAGATTAATCTATCAACGGTAGCTAAGATAGCTAAAAGGATAAAAGAACCTTTTAGCTCTCCACCCTCACTCTCACCTTGGTTCAGAACTGGCTAATTATAACTACTTATAAGCAAAACATTTACAAATTGTAGATTCATTAATATTTATTTTTTTGGTATACTCGTTCTTCGTTATTTTAATAAATTAAATATTACCGAGTTTCAGTGTACCTATCTAACTAAGAAGAAAGAAGAAATTTAAAATACTTTCTAATAATTCTTTAGTTTTTAAATTAAATTACAATACTAAATACCGATTAGTTATTAA